TGCCAAAAAAAAAAAAAAAAAAAAAGAAGAAGAAAGAAAGAAAGAAAGTTAAGGACTATAAAACTATAAAATTATTTATGCTACAAAAACAACCCAGAAGCCCATCAATGAAACTTTACAATAAGTAATATTACTTGAACGTGTCTGTTGATTGTCTACAACAGTTTACCTCGAGTAAGAGAAGAGAAGTAAGGGACAGAAACAGTCTGCATTGTGACAAGCAGCACCGCCCAAGGCAAATAGGAGGGATGTCTCACATGCAAGTCAGCTGAGGGGTCACTTGAGGAGTCACTTGAAATCTCTGTTCTCAGTTCTCTGGAACAGAGGTACAATATTCCGTCACTACTTAAATTATTTCCCAGGTAGTGAGTAGATAAGTGAAAACTTAAAGTGTCTGAAGCTTAGGAATAACACAAGATGGTGCCACTAGCATTCCAAACAGCAGTTAAGATCATTAATAAGCTATTTCCTAATGAAATAGCAAGTGAAAATTAAAATCTGCTTTCAAAGGAGCTTTTCTTTCCCGGATGTTCTCAAAGAGCCATTAGTGCTCAAGTAATGAACTCGAAAGAGGAAAAGCAAAGGGCAGGGAAGCTGGCTCACGGCATTTCCTGGACAGGTGGGGAAGCTGCTCAAATGGGGTTGATAAGACCTCACTGAAGAACAAGTCGATTTTGAAGCTAAGCAATGTAAGATTCACATGCCTTCAGCTTTCTCCTCACAGACGCCATCTCACTCCAAAACATATCTGTCCAAGAACATCATCAAGAGCCACATCTTCACCGGTGCTTTGAGATAACTGGATTTATGTCCACGAATGCCTCCTCAGGACTCCAGAAATGAGTGTGCTATTCTTACGATGCCAAGAACTGGGAAGATGCTGAGAAGCAGCAGAAAAAGAAGGGTGAAGGAAAAAAAAAGAGGAAATGATGGAAGATAAGCGATGGGAAGGAAAACTGAGTAGAGAGGAAGAGAAAGAAGCAGAAGCTGAGGAAAGCTTCAGGCAGTCTGGTGAGGATGCCCTTCAAATGCACTTCCTACCCAGGGCAGGGCAGGAAGCGGAGTTGCTTCACAGAATGGAAGTCCAGCTACCAAGCAGGGTGGCTGGCCAAGCCATGACAAGTACATTTTCAAACTTTCCAAACGAACTAAGTTATTCGGCTGCTTTCAGCACTGGCCTTTCCAAGATAAAGCAGGTTTCATCTATGCAGCTGACTCTAGGGTGAGCCCACACCGTAAGGAACTCCTGAAAAAAAGACTATCTATGTATATGAAAAGAAATGTGTATAAAACAGTTGAGGTGTAATTCAAGTTTCAGATTTGCTCTACAAACAAACAAATGCTTCAGGCCAACAACTATGTAAAGCAAAACGGAAGCAGTAATTACCAAATTTCGTACATTTTCCCCTGGAACTCACAGAAGTACACCTGCGTCTGCCTCCCAAGAGCTGGGAGTTAAGGCATACACCACCACATCCGCCCAATAAATCTATGGTCTTAATCAGAAGTAACAAACCTAAGATGTGCTTTCCAAATAATAAAGGCTGTAGTTTATGCATATGTATTATTTATGATGGAAAAAAATTAACCAACACAGTAATAGTCCCATTCAAGTTTATGAAAATATACTGAATCCTTTTGGGGGAGGGGAGAGTGTTGAGACTAGGTCTCGCTCTGTAGTCAAAGCCAGCCAGCCTAGAATTCACTATATAGCCCAGGCTGGCTTCAAACTTGGGACAATCCTCTCCTGCCCCTCAGCCTCCTGAGTACAGGATTTCAAGTACTACTGCATTCAGTCATTTTCTAAAATGCTGTGACAATGATTACAACATTGAAATTTAAAAAAAAAACACTGCTGAAAAGAATTCAGCAACAGAATATCAGGATAAAAAAACAATGTTTCAGAAATATAAAACCAGTTGAAACATACAAGGCATTTTGCAGGTCTGGCAGCCAAATGACAGGCAGATTAAAGAGGCTCTCAGCGGCCCAGACCCAGGCTCAGGCAGAAGCAGGGAGCAGAGATAGGAGCAAGGAAGCATTCCCAAGGAAGCAGAGACTGGAAACACTCTGCCTGGTGACTAAGCGGTGACTAATCTCGGAGGAGTGCAGTAGGAGACAAAGTAAAATAGAAAAAGAGAGGGAGGAATACGAAATGATCTCCAGGGCAACCGAGAAAAAGTGGGTTCCATTAATAGAAATGGAGGTGCAACTGACATCTCTTGATGCAAATATAATTCATTTTTAGACAACATGAGTCCACATGGGCTAATCCAAGCTAAATAACCTGCAGGCTATTGTCATATTGTTTCTAATGGAGAAAAGAACTTGAAACCAGGGCCTTTGCTGTGGTTTGAGACAGAGATCATGTCACCGAGGCAGGCCTGGAACTCAGGACATAGCTAGGGCGTGCCTTGAACTCCTGATCGGCCTGCCTCCATCTCTCTCCTGCTAACATTACAAGTGTGCACCACAATGCCCAGCTTCATCTCAGCAGTCTTGCTTAGCACTTCTTTTTTAATAAAGATCGATGCATTCATTCCCACAGCAATCTGGAGATGGTTCAATCATAATCTTCTCTAATAAGGAAAATGAGAGGTGAACCATTCTTCAGTATTTAGATCCCTGAAACCGGAATAATCACAAATGTACATAATCACTGCTACTCTCCTCACTGATCTAACACGAGGTGGGGGGAAGCTCTTTCATTAACAAACACTTGATTATATAGTTTTCCTTTAAAAGTTTATGGTAACATGAAATAACAATCTATGCAACTGATAATACTGTTCTGCTGATTTCAATGCTTGCTGAATTTAGGCGTGCCTTGAACAAGATTAAGCATAATTTTGTTTGTTTGGGTCTTTTTTTTCTTTTTGTCTTTTTGAGATGAGATTTCCCTGTGTTGCCTTTGTTGCCCTGGAACTCGCTGGGTAGAGCAGACCGGCCTCCAACTCAAGAGATCTGCTTGCTTCTGCCTCCAAAGTGCTGGGTTTAAGGCGTGTGCCACCACCGCCTGGCATTGTGTTTGTTTTTTGTTTTGTTTTAAGATTAAGCATAATTCTGTAATAATCTTCATTTAATCTGAAAAAGTCAGTAAGTGTAATAGGTGTAAACCTTTGTTTGGGTCTATTTCATGGTGAGGGGGTAACAACAGCTCAAAGTTGCTTTCTATTTTTTAAGTTAGGCTAGACACAGAACTCTGGTCTCTTGGTACCAAAGTCGCTGGTGACTGTTTCAAAATACAACGTGCGATCTCTCAAGTTCCACAGCACCTTACTATTAACGTCCATGCATGAGGTCTTGTAAATGTGTGAGCTCATAGCATATTCTTTGGCCATATGGTTTGCAATTAGCAATAGCAAATATCACCGACAGCTCTGCTGTTTTCCATAGCAAAAAACGTTGAAAAGCTTACCAGCCTGCCATGTGTCTTGGGCACTAAACTTTTGCCATAGATTAACAGAAGCAAACAGCAACAATATTAATAACAATAAAATAATTAATAGCACGTGTACAACATTCCATCAACTCTGAATTATCTAAATGCTAATTCCTGATGTAAGGCAGAGAATATATTCTCAGTCAGAATTTCTGTACAATTAAATCTAAATGGTGCACCCTGGGAGCAACTAGAATACCCATGATATAAAAAGCATACACTTAAACATACCTAGAAAGGAGAAAATGTCAAATGGTGAGCTAACTACAATGATTAGACGGAGGAGTTGTGAGTGTAGCTCAGAGGTGCAGCACTGCCTTAGCAGCCTGAGCCCTTGGGTAGGATCCCAAGCTCTACTCTACCCGCTCAAAGAGATCAACCACATCAATGTGAAGTGGTTAAATGTGTCTGCAGTTGGTGCTTCTATCGTTTTTTGGAGCGCTCGGGTCTCACAGAATGCACAGTCAGTGTGAAGAAAGCCATGTGCTACAAAACGTCTAGTTTTCACTAACTTCACCCAAGGTGTGTGTTGCCTTAAAGACTGGTATCAGTGATACTCAGCAGTGTTCAGGAAAATGATGTCAATAAATCCTGAAGACTGTCCCAATAAACCACAGACAATTATTTAGACCACCTTCAAACTAAGCATATATCAGGAAAATGGTCCTCCTCAAGTACTGACCATCAAAATTATGTAGTGCCTCTCCCCAAAACAGACATCTTGGGGGGAAAAATGTTAAGACAAAAGGTGTTACCACTTGCGAACACGGAGAAACACCCAAAACAATGTAACAAACCTCATAAGACATCCATTAAATCGGTGTTTCCAACACTAACATGCAGGGGTAAGAATGGTGCCAGCCCAGTGTTGATTCAAACACAACTTTTAATCCAAAAATGACAATAACTGCTACAAATCCTCAGGGACGTGGCACCACAGGACCAGGGTAATTTGAAAGCCTAGGTGAACTGCTGAATTTTCCAGTATTGAAGTGGCCTGCAGCGAGTAAAAACTCAGCAAACACCCCCGTTCTTTCTGAACAATGACCTAAATAGTGGACTGGAAAAGGAACAGATGACACATTCCATTCATCTGGTGGACCTCAAATACGCAGAGGTCTCACAGTCCTTTACAATGTAAGGCAACAATGTGATCACTTCACTCATCCTAGTGTCTAGAAAAGAAAATCAAAAGGATCAGAGTAAGGGAGGGAGTCTGGGAAGGGTGAAGCAAGGCACAGAATGACAGTGAAGCCAAAAGTCCCGCGGGACCAGCCTGTACTGATCTCTCACTTTTCCTGGATGTTTAACAGAGCTCCTTCAAAGCTCTCTCCCAGTGTCCCCGGGCAATCAGTAGAAGCTGGGGACCGGGTGAAAGTGAATGGTGAGTGCCAGGCTAGGTCATCCCCACAAATGTTTCATCCCTGCAGGACCTGAGCCAGCCGCGGGATGGGGTGGGTAGGCCGGTTTGGTGGAGCCAACCACCGGGTGCGGATAGGCTGGGTGGGGGCGCGCGGTGGGGGAGGGGGCGCCTGGGGACTCCAGCGCGGCCACTTACGAAGACGTGCTGGGCGCGAAGAAGTCCACGGCGAACCCGAAGTAACTTCCCTCGGGGCCGGCGTACTCGGCGGGGCTTTCGACGTCCAGGTTGAAGGCACCGGCGAGGGGCAACAGGAGGCCGGGCAGCAGCAGCAGAAAGCCACTGGGGCGAGGGCGCAGCAGCAGCCGCCCGGGAGCAGCCATCGCCGGGGCGCGGAGCCCAAAGGCTATACAGTCCCTGTCCCTGTCCCTGTCCCGGGGCTCGGGGCCCGCCGCCTGCGAGCGCCCGAACTGCTGTGCTGTGCGCTAGCGGTCAAGGGCGGCCGGGGCGGCGGGGAGACGGGCGGGCTGAGCTGGCCGGCCACCCAGGGGGCGCGGTGCGCGACGCGGGACTCCGGCGAGGTCGCTCCCTAGCGCGGCGGCTGGCGCTCAGTAGTGGCGAGGCGAGCGCCGTCCCTCGGACCGGGAGCTGCTCGGGCTGGGGGAAGGGGGGAGGGAAGGAGGAGCCTGGGAGGCCGGGCCGCCCCGCGAAAAAGGAAGTCGCGCTCACGGTGGCCTCCCACCGGAGAGGGCCGAGCGCACTTCCGTGCGCGCTGGCAGCGGGTCCTCGGAACCCGCCCCGGGACTGCCGCCCAGACCCAAAGGACCAGGGGGACAGTGGCCGCGCGCCTCCACCTGGGCCTCCGGCCCAACCCAGCAAGCCAGAGGATGGCGACAATGAAACGAAAAGAGGCCCGGGCACACCTCGTTCCCTGCTTCCTCCTGGAACTTCTCTGCGACTTTTGTTTAAGAATGCGGAAAGCGTTATCCGCTTCTCCTACTTCTGCCACTTAGCCCGGCAGGCACTCAGCAACAGAACTCTGTAATTATATGCTATTTCCCTCCCCTTCCATCCCCCACACACTGAACTTAATTATAAACTCCCAGAAGGCTAGCTAGCACAGCCCCTCCCGGGTGCGGTGTGTGGACCTGGATCTCACAGGCTGACAAAGGCGTTGGTAAGGAAAAGGTTAGGTGATGAGCCTTCCAAATCCACACAGAAGAATTCAGGCCTCATTCTTGGGTTCTTGCTTGGAGGGACGGGATTTTGGAAAACTGATCATTGATTTAGGGAGTTCAGGTAGACATGATTTTAGAGCTGGAAGAAGTAAGGCCGTGGAAATAAGAACCCTTGAAGTTTCAGTTGCTGTGGACAACAGGGTTCCTTCTGGACAGAAATCTTGACCTGCTTCTTTACATTTCCAGTTCCTACTACCTAATCAGTGAACCTTTCAATCAGTGAATGACTGAAGAGTAAATTTTGCTCAGAGCTTGGAGACTGGAGACAAGGCTCAGTGCATAAGAGCACCTGCCCTTCTTTGTAGCGTGGTCGAGCACCCACATGTTGACTCACAAACATCTGTAACTCCAATTCCAATTCCTCTTCTGGCCTCTATGTGCACCAGACATACACATGCTGCATATACATATATGCAGACAAAACACCCATACACATAAAATCAATTTTTAAAAGTTTGCTCAGAGTCTTTCCTGTGTTGTACCTAGCGTGCTAAAGAATTTGGTGAATGAGCCAGGTGTGATGGCAAAGGTTTTTAATCCTAGCACTAGGAAGTCAGAGGCAGAAGGATCTAGTCTGTGTAGCAAGTTCCAAGCTGGCCGGGTCTACGTGTGAGAACTTGTCTCAAAGAAGATAAAAGAGGAGGGAAGAAGAGTAGGAGATGCTTCAAACGACAGAAGAGCACCTCAGTGATATAGTGATATTTTATTTGTACTGAAATTGATTTTATTTGTATGTTAATAAATAAAGTTGCCTGGGGGTCAGAGCTAATAGCAAGCCATAACAGAAGTCTTGCAGTGGTAGCACATGCCCTTAATCCTGATCACATGACAGGCAGATCTCTGTGTGTTCAAGGATACCACCAGCATGGAGACACATGCCTTTAATCTCAATACCAACCATAGAAGACCTGGAGGTCTGTATAGATGGGCAGTGAAGAGGAGGTCATGTGGTTGGGTTTACAACCAATGAGAAGACAGAATAGAAAGTCAATAAAAAGGACAAACACACAGGAAGTAGGTCTCTTGTGGAGAGGTAGGACAGCAGCGGCAGTGAAGGGTAAGGTTTTTAGTCTCAGCTCTTAGCTATTGCTCTGACCTCTTGGCTTTTAACTCTGTATTTGGCTCTGTGTTTCTTATTTAATAAGACGGTTACATCTACACAGTGACAACATACATTCATCTAATAACATTAAATAATTCTGTGCAGTGTCATGTATATACTTAATTGGGTTAATCATTTTGACTTTTAAAATTTCACTAAAAGATATGCTACGTAACCTTTGGGGAGTCTTACCAAGCACAGGCCAGCATCTCTGCAAAACTGATTACAGGAAATACTCTGTGAATATTTACACATAAGCTCCTGTACCAGGCCGGGCAGTGGTGGCACACTCCTTTAATCCTAGCACTTGGGAGGCAAAGGCAGGCAGATCACCGCCTGGTCTACAGAGCCAGTTCCAGGACAGCTAGGGGGCTACACAAAGAAACCTTGTCTGGATAAACCAGAAAAAAAAAAGAAAGAAAGAAAGAAAAAAGAAAAAGAAAAAAAACGTACCTGCTCTTCATTCTCTGCCACCATTTGGGGTTACAGTCTGGGGTTTAAGGAGATAATGATGCACAGACAGCAAGACTGTCCTGTGTATTCTCAGTGTCCTCTGCTTCTCACTCTGAAAACCACACTGCTCTCCAAACAGCAGGTGACTTCAATTCTAAAGATGAGCCTGGGGTTTTCTGAGTCCCATTCATATAGTCAACACGCACAAATTTTAAAAGGGATCATGCCTGTTACTGAACTGAGATTAAAAATTACAGCATCTTCTTACAACTGCTTGAGGAGAGTTTTTTTTTTTTTGTAATGTTTTTAAAATAGGAGACCTATTCTAACTATATGGTTATAGTCGTATAAATCCTGTCTTAATATAGTACTTCAACCACAAAAATCCCAGGTCTAAAAGTTATTCTATGTGCTCTTCCACATGGGGCTTAGACACAAAAAGCTGAGCATTTCCGGTATGTTTAGAATTTGCTAACACAATATTTTTCCTTTCCTTTTGTGTGTGTGTGTGTGTGTGTGTGTGTGTGTGTGTGTGTGTGTGTGTGTGTATGTGGGGGGGGGGGGTGAGCTAAAACAGTCTCACTGTTTAGGCCACGTTAGACTGAAACTCACAGTTCTCCTGTCTCCACCTCCCAAATGCTGAAATTACAGAAGTGAGCCACTATACCCAGCTTGGAATTTCTCCTCCCACACTTCATTTTGACCAAGGCTTCGTGCACCCAAGACTGGCCCCAAACTGTCTATGGAGTTGAGCATTCTCTAGGTCATAACCTTGAGCTCCTGATCCTCTTGTCCGCACTTCCCAAGTACTGAGACTACAGATGTGTTTATAACATCAGAAGAACACAGTAGTTCTCCAAATACTTGTATCTATGTCAAAACTCACGAATAGAATCACGTGGGATAGTTTGAAATGCGGCCAGCAAGTCCTCAAATGGTTGCTAATACTTTCCTCCTTTTTTTTTTTTTATAAATATGACCTTGCTGTTAGTGGAGATTATAAGCTAAACTTCTAAAATGTATTTCCTTCGTGTTTATGATAAATGTAAATACTTACAACCAGAAGGCCTTCACAAATGGTGGTGTAGGAAGGGCTGAAAAAGTGCCTGTCTGGACAGCCAAAGATGCCAGTACAAGTTGTCGGGATCTTCAGAAAGGCTGATGGGAAGAAAGGGTACCATACGTATCAGGATCGCTACTTCCTGCTTCTTTTCTTCACAGCAGCTGCTGGGAACTTGCTTGGGAGTAGAGAGAGCTGCGCAGCTGCTTTGTGAGCATGGCGAGCATATTTAGCAATGGAAGTCATGGTCTAAGAATACAGAACAGGAAGAGCGAGTTTCTGATAACTATGGATCCCCATTCCAGGCTTGGATTATATGTCTTCACAGTATACCATGCAAGAAAAAATGGTGCAGCTGTCTTCGTTTAAGCTGCTATTATTTAGGTTTCCAATTGTACTTTCTTTTTAATTTTATTTGTTTTAGCGGGGTGTGATGTCCCACTCCTGAGGCAAGTTGGATCTCTGAGTTCGAGGACAACCTGGTCTACAGAGTGAGTTCCAGTAAGGCTAGGGCTACACAGAGAAACCCTGTCTCAAAAAAAAAAAAAAGATTTATTTATTTTGTGTATATAGGTGTTTTGTCTGCATGTACATCTGTGCACAAGAAGAGGACATTGGATCCTATGGGAATACAGTTATAGATGGTGGTGAACCACCGTAGGGGTGCTGGGAATTGAACTCAGGACCTCTGGAAGAGCAGCCAGTACTCTTAACTCCGGAACTACCTCTCAATAAACTCAGACTAACTGATACATTCACCTTAGTTTCCTTAACAAGATATTTAAAGTGAGTGCCAAATATTTGTATTCTTGCCTGGTTTAGGTAGAAATTAATCTACATATGTTGTCCATATCCGGTTTGTTTGTTTAAGTAGCTAAAACAACAGCATTGTCCGGCAGTTTTCTTGCTAATCCAAAGTTATCATTATTTACTGAAGCCGGAGTAAGTTCGCTTTCTAGTGACTGAGAGTTTTGTATACTCTGTGGAAGGCTTTGCAGCAGCCGGTATTCACGTAACAACTATGAATTAAGTTCTTGTGAGCGATCCTCTACTTTTTGGATGGGCTGGAACCTCCCCTGGCTTTGCTCTTGTTGAACGATTGACTTGAGTTTTTGTTTTTGTTTTTTCCTAAAGTCTCCACCTATTTCCTCTAAAGCTGAAGAGATAATTAAGAATTTCTACATTTCCATCATGGAAATGTGCCAGGGGATTTTCATGAAATGTTAAATATTTGGATTTAACAGGAGATGATTATGTTCACTAATACAGAGCTCTTAATTACATAATTCAATTAGGCTCAGATCATGGGAGCAAAATGAATTAAAGGCTTGATACAGTTTCAGCATTCTTTTTTCAAAGGATAGAGGTATTTCTACAGTTAGATTTTTGTTTTGTTTTGTTTTGGAGACAAGGTTTCTTTGTGTAGCCCTGGCTGTCCTGAAACTCACTATGTAGACCAGACTGACCTTGAATTCACAGAGCTCCACCTGCCTGCCTCCCAAGTGCGGGAATTAAAGGTGTGCATCACTACTGCCCTGCTAGTTTGATTTTTTTTTTTTTTTTTAGTTTTGAAGTAGAAATTACTTCTGTGAATAGTTACCCAAATTAATTCTACCATTTAGATTTGAGTAAGATTCTTTGAATCTGAGTTAATAGTGTTACTTTTTTACTCAGAATAACTCATGTTAGCTGTTGTTGTTTTTATTATCATTTATTATTATGCAGACAATATCTCACTACATAGCCCACATTGTCAGTAATATAACTAAGTGGTAGAGTGTCTTTCTAGTATTTATAAGGCCCTAGGCTCAATCTTCAGTACTGCCACAAATAAATAAATATATAAAACAAAATAAAACAAAACATAAGTGGCCCAAGCTAGATTTGAACTCACAATCCTCCTGTTTCAGCCTCCTGAGTGCTAGGATTAAGGTATGCACCAGCACACTAGGCTTCATTTTAGCTCTTCTATTTCCATATAAATTGTGGTAAATAAAATTTGTAGCTGGGTAGTGGTGGCAGTGGCGGCCACAGCGCATACCTTTAATCCCAGAACTCAGGAGAGAAAGGCAGGTAGATCTTGGTTTATAGAGTGAGTTCCAGGACAGCCAGGGTGACACAAGGAAACCCTGTCT